AACACGCTATGTTCGCCAGGAACTATTCGCCAGCGAACCGTTCGGGACATCACTATAGATGAACTGTTAGACCGGATGGCCAGAGGCCAATACCTCACGACCATTGATCTGTGTAAGGGGTATTGGCAGATCTCCCTGGCCCCGGACGCCATCCCTAAGTCCGCCTTTGTCACCCCATTCGGCTTGTACCAATTTAAGGTGATGCCGTTTGGGATGAAAAACGCACCGGCTTCCAGAGGATGGTAGACCGGCTCCTAGATGGGTTTCAAGATTACACCTACGCTTATTTAGATGACATTGCTATCTTTAGAAATACCTGGCAGGAACATCTGGCCCACATAGGAGCAGTGTTAGATAGAATCCGTGAAGCTGAATTAACCTTGAAACCTGCTAAATGCAGTATAGGTATGGCTGAGGTACAGTACCTCGGACACTGAGTAGGTTGCGGGAAGCAGAGGCCTGAACCCTCAAAGGTAGAGGCCGTAGCACAGTTGCCGACCCCCAGGACAAAAACCCAAGTCCTTGCTTTTCTAGAGACCGCCGGGTATTACAGGAAGTTTGTGCCCAACTATAGCGCTCTGGCCAAACCCCTTACTGACCTTACCCACAAAAACCTTCCCCGCCAAGTAACCTGGACCCCGGAGTGTGAGCAGGCATTCCAACTGTTGAAAAATGCACTTATCAATGCCTCCGTCTTGGCCACTCCCAATCTGACTAAACGTTTTCTTGTTCACACAGACGCTTCTATGTTTGGATTGGGGGCAGTATTAAGCCAAGTCGGGCCCGATGGCGGAGAACATCCCGTAGCCTACATCAGCCGGAAACTATTACCTAGAGAAGTGAGCTACGCCACCATCGAGAAGGAGTGCCTGGCTGTGGTGTGGGCCTTAAAGAAATTACAACCCTATCTATATCGACAGTCCTTTTCCCTGCTCACGGATCCCAACCCGTTGGTATGGTTAAACCGGGTGGCGGGGGACAATGCCCGGCTTCTGCGCTGGAGTTTGACGCTGCAGCCGTTTGACTTTAACATCCAGTACTGCCCGGGAAAACAGAATGGCAACGCTGACGGGTTGTCCAGACAAACTGACCTTGAAAAATGATCCGCGAGCTGCCCAGACATCCCCAAGCCGATCCGTGTTGGATCAGACTGTGTATGCCGGCTTGTGGGCAAGGAGCAGCAGTGTAGCGGATGGCACTGGACTGTCATCAAGGGTTATGTTTAAAAGACAATTCGTGTGTTTTTTTTTCCTGTATGATTAAAATTGTATGTAGGATTTGTATGTTTGTTCGGTAGTTTCATCCGTATTCCATACAAATGAAAACTACTGAACCAGTAGACTACCCCAGAGAGAAGTTGGGATCTAAAGTGGAGATAAGCTCTGTAAGAGCAGCTCTCCGCTACAGAGTGTTGTCATAAATTTAAAGGGAATTTAAAGTGAATTTAAAGTGAATTTCAAATTTGAGGCCAAAGTAGCCAAACTGGAAGCATTGCTGTCTTTGATTCTTCACATTACGCAAAAGAAAAAAACAAAAAAAAAACAGTTGATTTTCCAAAGTGGAATGAATATAAAACAACTTTTAATACATACAAAAACCAAAACAAATGTTAAAGTGAAATATTTGAGTGTTTTATTAAGTTGGTCTAGTCCAGTGGTTCCCAAACCAGTCCTCAAGACACCCCTGCCAGGTAAAAACCCAATTGGGTAAACCGTAAACAAAAAATATACTTAAAATCTCCAATACATTTTTCGGCAAATTTGGCTTCACACCTATCCAACTGAGGAAGCCGAATTTGGCAAAACGCGTATTGGAGATTTTAAGTATGTTTTTTGTTTACTGTTTACCCATTATTTAACAATAAATAGTCTCTATTTAATCACCATTATATTTTATTTTATTACCATCACTTTGGAACCCCAGCTATATACAGAGGGTGCTGGATCCACAGGCGCATACCACCAGAGCCAAGTGTCCACTTTTGGCTCCACCTTTGTGAGTGATTCCAATAATCTTCTTTTACAATTTGATTGTCGTACAGACTTACACTATTGGTTTCTTTTATATGTTTGCATTTTAGATCTTATTTCTACATATTATACATGGAAGAATTGTATGTATAATATCTTTGTTTATTGTGCTCCACTCCCAACTGTATTACTTTCCAGTGTAAGGGAGAGACTGCTTAAAAAGCTTCTCTGTGAAGTCTCATAGGACGTAAAAATATGATAAATCATACCTGAACTATCCCTCACGATATTGATTGGTTATAGATTACCTGCTGAGTGTTTAAAGTTGGATAATGGTCTAAAACTGGCAGTGGAGGTGATGGGTGTTTATCACCTAAACTGTGAATTGTGTTGCTAATGTTAGAGCAAGCCGATCTGTGATGAATACATAAGATATCCATATATAATGGAAAAATGTTGTTACTTTTGTGAGGGGTTATTACTGGGTACAATTACATGTGAGATATATGGGTGGATGCAATGTGTTTGTGTTGTCACGAAAAGTGTGACTTTGGAGTGCATTCTGGTGCTCATGGCAGTTCCTTTAATATCTTATGTATCTCTTTATTTTTAAGGTATATTTCAAAGTCCATGCCTTTTTTTTTTTTTTAAATTACAAAATTACATAAGGTAATATGTCTGGTATGCAAGATCATGCCTCCTAACTGTAAAGTTCGGGTTCGTACCGAACATTAGGGTTTTGGACCATGGACTCGAACACGGACATATCACTGTATCGGTGTTCGTCGATTTAATGGCGCGTTTTGAAAGCAAGCGTTTGACTTGGCATGGCTGTGATTGGCCAGTGCAGCATGTGACCCAGCCTCTATATATAAGCTGGAGTCGCGTAGCGCCGCACGCACATGAGGTCTTATTAGTGTAGGGAGAGGATGCTGCCGCTGATACAGCGCAGTTGTAAAAATTCTAATTTTCTGGGTGCTAATCTGCTAAATAGTAAATGTTGGGGCCTGCTCTTCGTATATGAGAGTCAAATAGAAGCGTCAAATAGTGCGCTTACTGCGCAATTGTAAACATTCTAATTGTCTTGCTCCTAATCTGCTGCTTACGTTAGCGTTTTAAAAAGTAAAAAAAAAATTTTTTTATTGGTACTAAATAGTATATTTGGGGTGTTCACTTCATATCTGAGAGTCAAATTGAAGCGTCTAATAGTGTGCTTACAGCGCAGTTGTAAAAATTCTAACTGTTTTCCTGCTAATCTGCTAAATAACACATTTTGGGGCGTGCACTTTATATTTGAGAGTCAAATCGAAGCATCTAATAGTGTGCTTACAGCGCAGTGGTAAACATTCTTATTTTCTGGGTGCTAATATGCTAAATAGTACATTTTGTGGTCTGCTCTTCATATCTGAGAGACAAATAGAAGCGTCTAATAGTGTGCTTACAGCGCAGTGGTAAAAATTCTAATTTTCTGGGTGCTAATCTGCTAAATAGTATATTTGGGGTGTTCACTTATATCTGAGAGTCAAATCGAAGCGTCCAATAGTGTGCTTACAGCGCAGTTGTAAAAATTCTAATTGTTTTGCTGCTAATCTGCTAAATAGCACATTTTGGGGCCTGTTCTTCATATCTGAGAGTCAAATAGAAGTGTCTAATAGCGTGCTTACAGCGCAGTGGTAAACATTCTTATTTTATGGGTGCTAATCTGCTAAATAGTAAATTTTGTGGCCTGCTCTTCATATCTGAGAGTCAAATAGAAGCGTCTAATAGTCTGCTTACAGCGCAGTGGTAAAAACTCTAATTTTCTGGGTGCTAATCTGTTAAATAGTACATTTTGGGGCGTGCACTTCATATCTGTGAGTCAAACAGAAGCGTCTAATAGTGTGCTTAAAGCACAGTTGTAAAAATTCTAATTTTCTGGGTGCTAATCTGCTAAATAGTACATTTTGGGGCGTGCACTTCATATCTGAGAGTCAAACAGAACGTCTAATAGTGTGCTTACAGCGCAGTGGTAACAATTCTAATTTTCTGTGTGCTAATCTGCTAAATAGTACATTTTGGGATGTTTACTTCATATCTGAGAGTCAAATCAAAGCGTAACTTTGATTCGAATTTACTGCATCTGTCACTTGTAATATTGTTTCACACCTACAACACTTGTTACACAGATCTAAGTGATAGAAAACAGATTTATATTTTCTACACTAGAAACTACCAGATAACAAGCTGCTATATTTAAAACAGTTATCAATAGCTAAGAGGTACTTAAACAATATTGTAATTCTGGGGCAATACCCTCACAAGTCAAACTGAGGGGTCAGTTTATAGGGAAAACTGTTGCCTGGATACAATTCTAAAATAATTTCCATATGTCCTTTGCAGACTTTACATGCTGGAAAAAAAACAAGTGCCAGCTACTGTGGCTTTCTGCAGTGTGCATACTGGCCCGCAGTGCAGGGTTGAGGAGTAGGTGGAAGATGATGTGGAGGATGATGAGGTCCTAGACCCTACATGGAATCAAGGACATGCGAATGACGTCTGCAGTTTGGAGGAAGAGGCGCTGGTCGCACAGAGGCACCAGAACAGCACAAGAGGGAGCAGGGTGCAAAAGCGGAGCAGCCGTCCCATAAGGTTCATCGGCATGTATTAGCTAGAAAATTACTAGTTATCCAAGTAATACATGTAGCGATCAAAGGATCCATAATAGAGTTGAGCGAACCCGAAGTGCAAAGTTCGGGTTCGTATCAGATATAACGATCCATTCGTAGTTTCACAGTCAGGTGACCAGGACCCAGACACTGTCTGGGCGGCGGTCAGACGACCGCACACCCCCTGGTGTTGAGCACCAGCGTTTGTGCGGCCATATACTAGGACCCTGATACAGCTTCAGTAAAAAGAGTACTGGATACCTGAAGCCATCACCAGACTGATCTGGTCTTGGAACAGGATGTGACATTCACTGTAGCGGCGTTGTAACCCTGCTGCTGCTCGCTTGTCTGCGCTGCAGCGTAACTTCGGCCCTCCCTCTCACCGACTCATGAGACTGTGCAAGCAGCTGCAACAAACACGGGTCAGTGGCTTTGCACCAGACTTCCCTCCAATTGATCAGAGTTATAGGATTTCAAGTGGACTCATTACAATCACAGGGCCTCTAAAGAGTCGTGTATTGTTATTTGTCGTCACTAGCCTGCTGCCTTCCTTGCATGTGATAGCCATTTCTCAGGGTCCCTGTACGGAATGGAACCCTGATTCCCCATTACCCGTGGTCACCATGGTATGCGCAGAAACTGGCATCAAAAGTTGATATGGATGACATCCGCATGCAAAGTCGCCACCAAGGGGATGTGCGATTGGCCCGAGGTTCTCTAGAGTCAACAAAGTGCCTGCGCAACTATAATGTCAACAGCTACTCTGCAGAACAGAGTTGTCTTTTTTTATATGGCCCAATATTTTTGGGGCTACCCCAATTAAAAAATATATATATATATAAAAAACAGTGTTGGCTACCTCATCCTCCTTCTCCACCGCTGCTTCCACCTCCACCGTGGGCTACCACAATAAAAATTTTTTTTTAAAAAACCCCATAAAAAACAGTGTTGGCTACCTCATCCTCCTCCTTCACTGCCGATTCCACCTATACTGCCTCCTAAACCTATGGGTCACGTAGTATAAACTATGTACACATTAGCAGAGGCTTGTAAAGGCCTTTTCTCCATGCATCAGGAGTTGAGCATTTCTCCATGCATCAGAACTGCAAGAAATGCACCGCAGGCCGCAAATGTTTCTTTTTTTGTATGTCCCAATATTTTGTGGGCTACCACAATAATAAAAAAAAACAACATAAAAAACAGTGTTGGCTACCTCATCCTCCTCCTCCACCGCTGCTTCCACCTCCACGGTCACCGCCTCCTCAACCTATGGGTCACGTAGTATAAACTATGTACACATTAGCAGAGGCTTGTAAAGGCCTTTTCTCCATGCATCAGGAGTTGAGCATTTTTCCATGCATCAGAACTGCAAGAAATGCACCGCAGGCCGCAAATGTTTCTTTTTTTTGTATGTCCCAATATTTTGTGGGCTACCACAATTAAAAAAAAACAAAATCAAACATAAAAAAACTGTATTGGCTACCTCATCCTCCTTCTCCACTGCCACGGTCACCGCCTCCTCAACCTATGGGTCACTTAGTATAAACTATGTACACATTAGCTGAGGCTTGTGCATGGCTGATGCATGGCCTTTTCTCCATGCATCAGGAGTTGAGCATTTCTCCATGCATCAAGACTGCAAGAAATGCACCGCAGGCCGCAAATGTTTCTTTTTTTGTATGTCCCAATATTTTGCCGGCTACCACAATAAAAAATAAAAAAAAACAAACATAAAAAACAGTGTTGGCTACCTCATCCTCCTCCTCCACCGCCGCTTCCACCTACACTGCCACGGTCACCGTCTCCTCAACCTATGGGTCACTTAGTATAAACTATGTACACATTAGCAGAGGCTTGTGAAGGCCTTTTCTTCATGCATCAGGAGTTGAGCATTTCTCCATGCTTCAGGACTGCAAGAAATGCACCGCAAATGTTTTTTTTTGTATGTCCCAATATTTTGGGGGCTACCCCAATTAAAATAAAAAAATATATATATAAAAACAGTGTTGGCTACCTCCTCCTCCTCCACTGCCACTTCCACCTACACTGCCATGGTCACCGCCTCCTCAACCTATGGGTCACATAGTATAAACTATGTACACAATAGCAGAGGCTTGTGAAGGCCTTTTCTCCATGCATCAGGAGTTGAGCAATGAGAATACCCTGCACTCCAACCCTCTCTCAAATGAATAATTCTGGTGATCCTCCTGACAGCCATGCTTTAGATTTTGATTTATGTTCTTCCAAAGCTAAAATCAAAGATTCCATCTAGTGCTATTTTATGGCTCAGCTGCAGTTTTCATTTTTATTTTATTTTAAGTGATTTCCCTATCCACATTTGTTTGCAGGGCACTTACCCTACTCCTACCCCCATTTTACTTGCTTTTGCAGCTCTTTAGCCCTTTCCAGGAGTTTTTAGAGGCATTTTTGTGGCCAAAAGTTCGGGTCCCCATTGACTTCAATGGGGTTCGGGGTCAAGTTCGGGGTAAAGTTCGAGACCTTTTTTCAAAGTTCGTCCGAACCCGCCCGACCCGAACATCCAGGTGTCTGCTCAACTCTACTCCTAACCATTCCAAATTCAGCTGTAAAGTCCTAATTTTCAGGTCCTTTCTCCCTTAGTTCCCATGTGTCCCACTTTTGGGGGCACCAGGGAACTGTCCCCAACATTCATAGCACTAGTGCAACAATAGATCCTCTTGCACTATGATCAGGGCACTAGGATCCCGCAGAGAGAACTGAAATTGTGCTCCCTGCAGGGACTGACCTCAGAGGGCCGACCTTCATCTGGACAGGCAGTATGGCATGCATTCACGCCAAGCTGACCTGCCGTTAACTCGTGCAGACACTTACCCTTTCTGGGTGGGTGTGCCCCTTTAGGGGCAAAGCTAGTGACACAAACACGTCACTGGTCCACCCCCTTTACCTCCCTTCCACAGGAGTACTGACTTGCAGGATGCCAGAATTGGAGGTATGCAAGATGGATGTCCACTGCAACCATATTTAGCTGGTTTTGTGTTTTTATCTCTGTCATCTACCAATTAAAACATAAATAAATATTATAATAAGACATACCTTAAAATAAATATATAATCATGCTTGATACCAAAGTGGCAAAGTCATGTGATTCTATCTTATTTCTTATGTTTAAAAAAAGAAAAATAATCTTGGATATTCAACTTATTTTTGAACGTATCTTATATATTCATCAAAATCCCCTCACTATATTACAAAAAATCCTTGCAATTCCTGACCTTATTGTAAGAAATTCTTACATTCATTGAAGGTGAATTATTCTTTCTGCTTATCATAAGAAATGACTTTGTGCTTCATTTAAAGCCCAGCATATTGACCTTGAATATATTGTTATTATCTCTCTTAGCTTCATGTAGATACATCGTTCTTTTGTGTGAGCAAATGCAATTTGTAAAGCATAACTAAAGCTAAACCTGTGCTTGATTCTTATTCACTATTTTTGCTACATGAACCAAATATTTAATAGAAATTCATTTTCACTTTCAGGACTGTTACAAAAAGTCCTTGTCCTCAAACATATTATGCAAACTATTTATTTTGGTAGATCTTGTATAACAGTTAACAGCCTGTAAACTAAGTTTTAGAATATTTTTCCTTCAATCTTACACATTGTTCAACAAACACTAATGGTTTCTAAGCATGTACCACGAATATTGTGTTGTGTTGATGCGACAGCCAGTATGCAAAATATATGCAAATATAGCCTTGTGAGAGAAAAAAGACACTTCTAAATTGAAGTCCTATTAGAGCTCAACTATTTTGGCCTAAATTATGATAGTTGGTTGCCATCTCATTGTAACGCTGGGCTCACTGTTTCTCACTCCTATCTTTAAAAGTTTAATCAGCAATTTTTTATTCCATCTGATTTGGATCTTGCTTGTAAAGTAAGTGCTCTTGTAGTCAGGGCTGGATAAACATAAGGGCTAATGGAACTGAAGCTCCAGGCACATGGTATAGGCCCAGCAATAAAAATAAATAAATATAATTCCTGGCTAATCATGGCAGCATATACAAATGGGTTAGCTCCGCCCCCTACAGCTGACAGGACAGGAAAAACAAAGAATCTTTAAAATTAGGGATACATCCAATGGTCTCCAGTCTATTTCCTGTCCAACAACCCTTAGAATGGGAGCATTTGCTCCCTTTACTATGGACATCTACATTATTTTTCTTTACTTTACTGTTGTAACAAATGCGCAGTTGGCACCTTAAATTGGACAATAAAAATGACGAACCTTAACCCCTTAAGGACCAAACTTCTGGAATAAAAGGGAATCATGACATGTCACACATGTCATGTGTACTTAAGGGGTTAAAGGAATTCAAACTGCGGTGGCCATCTTGGATAGGGGCAAATACTAGAAAATGCCAAAGGTATTTAAAAGCTCCCCAGACATGGGTAAGAGCTATATATATATATTTTTTGTTTGTTTTTGAATGTTTTTTTTTTCCTTTTTCATAAAATGTCGCATAATTTACAGAAATGAAACCAACAAAGTAAAATAAAATAACATAAGATAACAATAACGTTGTTATAGTAACATCAGCATCACAGTACAACACAGAACACATACAGCATTCTTTATATACATCACTGACAGTCGCCCCCTTCCGGTACCTGCTAACTGTGGAACGAACATACCCCCAAAGATCCCTTTATCCTGCTTATCCACCAATCCGCAATTGAGCTACTAAGCACCTGGAAGCACACGGACAGCACTGGCCCAGTTTGCCTATGCCTTTACATGACTCTGCAAGGAGTTATTCTATGCAATATTTCCTCATAAAATTCAGTTGTGCTTAAATAGGCTATTGTCATTACATCCTGAGGGAGTGCATATTGCTTCCAGTTACAAGGTATGCTCAATTGTGCTGCCATTTATATATGCATGACTAGCTTCCTCTGTGGACCATGTAGAGAACTCGAGAGCATATCCCAACTTGGCAAGAAGGCTATACAACCCTAGCCATATTGTGGAGGAAGTAGCCTCTTTTTATTCATAGCTCTATAATAAAGCATTAGATAAATCACAACCTGGGGATGGAGAGATTCAGAACATTCCTGTCAAATATATATATATATATATATACACACATACATATATACACACATACATATATACACTGAACAAAAGTATAAACACAACACTTTTGTTTTTGCCCCAATTTTTCATGAGCTGAACTCAAAGATCTAAGACTTTCTCTATATACACAAAAGGCCTATTTCTCTCAAATATTGTTCACAAATCTGTCTAAATCTGTGTTAGTGAGCACTTCTCCTTTACCGAGATAATCCATCCACCTCACAGGTGTGGCATATCAAGATGCTGATTAGACAACATGATTATTGCACAGGTGTGCCTTAGGATGGTCACAATAAAAGGCAGTTTTATGCAGTTTTACCCCACAGCACAATGCCACAGATGTCGCAAGTTTTGAAGGAGCGTGCCATTGGCATGCTGACTGCAGGAATGTCCACCAGAGCTGTTGCCCATGCATTGAATGTTCATTTCTCTACCATAAGCCATCTCCAAAGGCGTTTCAGAGAAGTCCCAGACTCCCAGGACTTCCACATCCAACATCTTCACCTCCAAGATCGTCTGAGACCTGCCACCCATACATCTGCTGCAGCAATCAGTTTTCATCGATAAAATGTGGGAGATGATCAGCGCAAAAGGTAAAATAAAATATACATATGGTACAAAGGCAGTATCAAGTATATAACTCTATGAATACAAAGCAAAAGACACATTATGATGCAGTACAATTGGTAGGTTAAGGGGGATATGTAAAGGTCAAGTGCACACTCACACTTTTTAGAATTGTACCAGCTCTGTTTGGAAGGCCTGGACGGAATAATCCCCATCTATGGATATATATAGAA